TCTCTGGTCTTCCCCAGTCTCTCCCTCCTCTCCCCTCCGGGCCACGACCTTCCTGTGTCCCCTGTGTCGAGGGTCGCCTCCGGGCTACTCCTCACTCCTCCCACTTCCCCCCGACAGAGGCTCCCCTGCAGACGCTTCACATGGATGTGTGGGGCCCAGCCCCCGTCCGTGGGCAGGGTTACGAGCGCTACTTCCTGTTGGTGGTTGACGACTACTCGCGTTACACCACAGTCCTCCCCTTGCGCAGCAAGGGTGCGGTCACTGAGGTGCTGATCGACTGGATCCGCGAGGCTCGTCTCCAGCTCAGGAAGAGCTTCGGCTCGGACTTTCCTGTTCTGCGTCTGCACTCTGACAGAGGCGGAGAGTTCTCTTCTCGCCTTCTGCGAGACTACTGTCGTGCACGGGGGATCCGCCAGATCTTCACGCTTCCGGACTCACCACAACAAAATGGGATTGCTGAGCGCCGCATTGGCATGGTCATGGATGTCGCTCGTACGTCCATGATGCATGCGGCTGCCCCCCATTTTCTGTGGCCGTTTGCGGTGAGGTACGCGGCGCATCAGCTCAACCTTCACCCCCGGGTCTCTCGGCCTGCGATGTCCCCAGTCTTGCTGTGGACGGGGAAGGTTGGCGATGCGTCTGTGTTCCGTGTCTGGGGATCTCGGGCGTTTGTCCGCGACTTGTCTGCGGACAAGCTGTCCCCTCGTGCTGCTCCCTGTGTCTTCCTTGGCTTCCCCACTGACGCCCCAGGGTGGCAGTTTTACCACCCCTCCTCTCGTCGTGTTCTGTCCTCCCAGGACGTTACGTTCGACGAGTCAGTCCCCTTCTACCGTCTCTTCCCCTACCGCACTCCTTCCCTCCCCCCTCCCCCGGACTTCCTTGTGCCGGTTCCCCCCCCGGTAGACCCCCTCCCCCCTCAGGTTCCTGCCCCCTCAGGTGTGTCCCAGGTAGACGCCGTTGACCCGGTCGAGGTTACTGGTGACTCTGGTGCTGCTGTGGGTGCTGAGCCTGGGGGTGCTGACTCTGGGGGTACTGTGCGCGGGGGTGCTGAGCCTGGGGGTGCTACTGCTGGGGGTGCTGGGCCTGAGGGTGCTACTGCGGTGGGTGCGGAGCCTGGGGGTGCTGAGCCGGGGGGTGCTGTGCCTGGAGGTGCTGGGCCTGGGGGTGCTGGGTCGGGAGCTGCTGAGCCTGGGGGTGCTGAGCTGGGAGCTGCTGAGCCTGGGGGTGCTGCGTCTGGAGCTGCTGAGCCTGGGGTTTCTCCTGCTGCTGCGTCTCGCCGGGAGCCCCTCTCTCCACAGGAGCTGCGTGAGTGGTTCGCTCGCCGCTGGAGGCGTGCTGCTGAGTCTGGAGGTGCTGCTGGAGCTGGAGCTGGAGCTTCTTCGACCGTCGAGGGTGCGGGTGCTGCCGGTCCCGGAGCTGCTGGACCTGCGGGTCCTCCTGGAGCTGGAGCTGCTGAGGGCGTTCGTGCTGAGCCTGCTGCTGTTGGTCCTGCCGCTGGAGGTGTGGGTGGCGCTGGTGCTGTCGCTGAGGGTGCTGGTGCTGTCCCTGCTGAGTCTGGAGCCGCCGCGCGGCCTCGGCCGTACTTCGTTCCACTCCTGCAGCAGGTTCTTGGTCTTTCTCCTCCAGTAGAGGGTCCACTGCCTGTCCAGTCGCAGTCCCTGCTGGAGCCTTCCTCTCCACTGCCTGCTCCCTCTCCTTACACTGGTCCTACTGGAGGTCTTGCTGAGCGTCGTGAGCCTGCGTCTCGTCCCGCGTCGCCTGTTCGTGCTGCTCGCGCTAGTGGTCGCAGTTCGCGTCAGCGTCCTCCTCCTGTTCCTGGCACGCACCGGATGTCTTTGCGTCCGTCCACTGCTCCTCTGCGTGCCCCTTTGCCTTCTCCTCCTGAGTCCTCTCTTCCTGCGCTTGCCGACCCTGAGTCGGACTCTCTTCGTGCTGCCAGTCCTACTGTCACGCGTCTGCTTGCTACTGTCGTCACTGACCCCTCTTTTGAGTCCACTGCTGCGTCTGCTCTAGTCGCTGAGCTCGTCGACTTTGCTGCTCGCTGTCGTCTCGACTACGCTGCTAGTCTTGTTGCTGAGTCTGCGTCTGTCTGTCCTCCGTCCGTCGGGGGTGAGTGTGCTCTTAGCACGGACGTCCTAGAGGACAGGCAGGAGGAGTTACAGTGTCTAGCGGCTGCTTCACCTCATCTCGCGTCTGTACTGCTTGCCCCTGAGGGAGACCCGGATGCACTAGACATCCCGACTCCGCGTTCTTACGCGGAGGCCGTAGAGGGTCCCTACTCCTCTCAGTGGCAGGCAGCTATGGATGCAGAGATGGCTTCCTGGAAGTCCACAGGCACCTACGTTGACGCGGTTCCCCCTCCTGGGGCGAACATCGTCAGTGGCATGTGGATCTTCAGGGTGAAGCGGCCGCCGGGCTCTCCACCTGTCTTCAAGGCACGGTACGTTGCTCGTGGCTTCAGTCAGCGGCAGGGAGTTGACTACTTTCAGACCTTCTCTCCCACCCCGAAGATGACTACTCTTCGGGTGCTGCTGCACATAGCCGCTCAGCGCGACTACGAGCTTCACTCTCTCGACTTCAGCACTGCGTTCTTGCAGGGTAGCCTGCACGAGGAGATCTGGCTTCGCCATCCACCTGGCTTCACTGGGACTTTCCCTCCTGGCACCCAGTGGAGCCTCCGACGGCCAGTCTACGGTCTCCGCCAGGCACCGCGTGAGTGGCACGACACACTGGGGACTACGCTTGCGGCTCTTGGGTTTGCTCCTTCTACTGCTGACCCGTCGCTGTTTCTTCGCACCGACACTTCCCTGCCGCCGTTCTACATCCTCGTGTACGTCGACGACTTGGTCTTTGCCACAGCAGACACTGCTGGACTCGCCTACGTGAAGTCCGAGCTGCTGAAGAGACACACGTGCACAGACCTGGGTGAACTGCGCAGCTACCTTGGCTTGCAGATCACTCGGGACAGAGCACGCCGCACCATTACCTTGACTCAGTCACACATGGTGCAGCAGGTCCTTCAGCGCTTCGGCTTCACGTACTCCTCGCCTCAGGCCACTCCTCTGCCTACTCGCCACTCACTCTCAGCTCTGCCTTCGGATGAGTCCGTAGAGTCGAGTGGTCCGTATGCAGAGCTTGTTGGCTGCCTCATGTACCTGATGACCTGCACACGACCTGACCTTGCATACCCTCTGAGCATTCTTGCACGCTATGTTGCTCCTGGGAGACACAGACCGGAGCATATGGCTGCAGCTAAGAGGGTATTGCGCTACCTGTGCAGTACGTCGGGCATGGGGCTAGTGCTTGGAGGGCGGAGTCCAGTGGTCCTTACCGGCCACGCGGACGCTTCTTGGGCTGACAACCAGGCTACGCAGCGGTCGTCACAGGGTTACACCTTCAGCCTTGGTTCCGGCTCTGTCTCGTGGCGGTCTACTCGCTCGTCTTCGGTTCTCGGCTCCAGTTGTGAGGCTGAGATCTACGCCGGGGCCATGGCTGCACAGGAGCTTCGCTGGCTCACCTACCTGCTGACTGACCTTGGAGAGCCGCCTCGTTCTCCTCCAGTGCTGTACGTAGACAACAAGGCTATGCTGGCCTTGTGTCGAGAGCAGCGCTTGGAGCACAGAACGAAGCACATTGCTCTCCGCTACTTCCTTGCTCGTGAGCTGCAGCAGCGTGGTCAGTTGCGACTTGCGTACGTGGCCTCTGAGGCCAACACTGCTGATGTGTTCACCAAGGCACTCGCGCCTTGTGACCATCAGCGCTTTTGCACCCAGCTGGGTCTTGTGCCTGTCTTGCCTCACTTGCTCTCCTCTTGACTTCACTTGTACTGTGACATATATATATATGCCTGCTCTTGTTTGTCTAGTTTTATATATATGTCTGTACTCCTGCATGTGAACTGGCCTCTGGCCCTACTCTTGTGCTCGGACTGTGTGGTGACTTTGTGATCCACCCTGAGCTTGTTTTGCTTTGCTTGACTGGTCTTGTGACCCCTTGTTCTCCCCCACTTTGCCTATGGGGGTGTGTCAGATTTATATGACATAGTTGCTGTAGGCTATAGTGGGGTAGCACATATGGGGTACAGGGTTTCTAGGGTTGTATTTGTACCCAATCTTTCCTTAGTCATTTCATTCCTGCTTACTCATTTCACACGCACAGCATCAGCGGAACTCAGAGCTAAGTACGGTATTGATCGCGCGTTTCCAAAAAAACAGCAACACCGAACTACAGCTACTTCGAAACGCATCGCAAAAGCGCAACTTCTGTCGAAGCTCTGCACCTGGGCCGCCCATCTGAAATTACAGATCGCTCCCGGGTGTTGAGGGGAGCGCAATGCGAGATATCCCAACGCGCACATACACGCTAGGACCCAGAACTAGTGACGGGAGGGGGCAGTGCGAGGTAGCAGTAACCTGCTTCTAAAGTCGCGCCGAGAAGTTGTCTGGCTGTTTACGAATGAGGACTTGCTGAAGAGCGTGGTCACTGAAATACGTCTGTGTCTGGGGATTGAAGTCGTCTCACAAAGGCTGTGAGGAGAACTCGTCCGATTGGTCAGCGAAAAACACCCACCGTTAAACCGAAGCCATCACTGTACCTGGTGGCGATATATACATACCGCACTAGTGAGCAAGGACCTGGCACCCTGTATGTTGGTTGGCATATAAAACTGGCAAGTCTATCATAATTAGTGCAATCCAAATGATTGGTTTGGAAGCTAGGGAATGTGGAGCGCAGACTCAAATACCCTGTAAGAAAAGTATGTTCGACTGCATTAATCGTCAACATCAGCCACACAAACAAAACCACCAAAAGCTTGAAAAGTGAATGCGATAGAATATAGATCCAAAATAAGGAGAGAGTCAATTGGGCAGCGAAGCATAGAGAGGTCACGGACTGCTGCGCATGTCACCAAAAGATGTCTAACAGCGTCTTTATGCAATTGCATCATTGCGAATGACCGAAGCCAAGAAAACCCAACGCCGGTGGTAGGATACACATGTTCATCCAAACAGAAAGCCGCCCCCCCATGCGGCCTGGACAGGTCCAGCCTGTGTGACCGGTTCAGGCCCTGCCTGTGCGGCCGGTGCAGGCCCAGGACGTGCGGCCGGTGCAGGCCCAGGACGTGCGGCCGGTGCAGGCTCAGCCTGCGCGCCCGTGACAGGCGCAACCTGGGTGGAAGGGACATGCACAAATGGTGCGGCCGGGACAGGCACAGGCTGCGCGAGTGGGGCCGGCATAGCCTGGAAGGGCGGGACAGGCACAGGCTGCACGGCTGGGGCCAGCACAGGCTGCACGGATGGGGCCAGCACAGGCTGCACGGCTGGGGCCAGCACAGGCTGCGGGGCCGGGACAGGTGCAGGCTGCGCAAAGCGGTTGATGCCCTCCGTGTCTTCAATGCCGTCGATGGAGATGTAAATCTTTCCGGTCGTAGAGAAGGCCCACGCCCTTTCACTGGCCTTGTACCAGGGGCCGCTCCCGTTGACAGAGGGGGCCATTATGGCAGCCTTGCACCATGCCGTCACTTTACGCAGATACTCGCGAACCTTCCTGCCGTTGATGCCAGGACCGTGCAACACATCGGCACCGTTGTTGATAATACGATGCTCGACCTGCAGGATGATAGGTCATGCAGGACAGGAATGGATACACAGGGTGGATACACATCTCTGGCCCATGCATGGATGGGCTGGCCCTTTAACACATCTCTGGCCCATGCATGCATGGGCTGGCCCTTTAACACAACTCTGGCCCATGCATGCATGGGCTGGCCCTTTAACACATCTCTGGCCCATGCATGCATGGGCTGGCCCTTTAACACATCTCTGGCCCATGCATGCATGGGCTGGCCCTTTAACACATCTCTGGCCCATGCATGCTTGGGCTGGCCCTTTTAACACATCTCTGGCCCATGCATGCATGGGCTGGCCCTTTAACACATCTCTGGCCCATGCATGCATGGGCTGGCCCTTTAACACATCTCTGGCCCATGCATGCATGGGCTGGCCCTTTAACACATCTCTGGCCCATGCATGCATGGACTGGCCCTTTAACACATCTCTGGCCCATGCATGTATGGGCTGGCCCTTCAACACATCTCTGGCCCATGCATGCATGGGCTGGCCCTTCAACACATCTCTGGCCCATGCATGCATGGGCTGGCCCTTTAACACATCTCTGGCCCATGCATGGGTGGGCTGGCCCTTTAACACATCTCTGGCCCATGCATGCATGGGCTGGCCCTTTAACACATCTCTGGCCCATGCATGCATGGACTGGCCCTTTACCACATCTCTGGCCCATGCATGCATGGGCTGGCCCTTTAACACAACTCTGGCCCATGCATGCATGGGCTGGCCCTTTAACACATCTCCGGCCCATGCATGCATGGGCTGGCCCTTTAACACATCTCTGGCCCATGCATGCATGGGACCCATGCTCCTCTCATGTGGCGCAGGGGTCCTCGTCTGGTTGTTGCTTGCATTCGGAATGGGGTGTGAGCCAGGCAGGGACCCGCACACTCTCCCCTTAGCTGACGCGCAAGGGACCCACACTCCTCTCACGCATAGTCTATCACCATGCCTAACCATTGTTGTGTCCGACGAGTCACAAGGCACGAGGGCTTACATTGTGTGCTGGCTTCCTCCCCCCAAACAGAGTTTTTTGAAGAACGGGGAGGTAATCTGCCCCATCATCCTCGCGTCAGACGTCACAGTGCTGAGTGGTCACGGGCGGATCAGAGTCTGGCCTGTTTATCTCTCCGTCGCCAACATCCCGTATCACCTTCGGTGGCGTGACACCGGCAGGGTGTTAATTGCTCTGCTTCCGATGCCTGATATAAAGATGACTAGTGCGCAAAAAGTACAGTTGTTCCAAAAGGCCATGCACGTTGTACTAAACGAGGTGTTCCAAGCATCACCGTGGTACGTGTAAGAAAGGGGAATGTGTGATTGTCATGGGGAATGTTGTTGCAGTAGAGTGTGTATGCAGTGAGCGTATGTTCGACATACTTTCCAGGATGCGTTATATCTGAATCCCCTGTCTTCTAATATCCGGAACACTACTTTAAGCTCCTCTGTGCCATGCCTTGGATTCAGGGGCACCCCGCTCACAGATCCACTTGGAGCGGTTCATTCAGCATACTTCATGCTGTTTGCATACGTAGGGGATTATCCCGAAATGTGCAAAGTCAGCTGCACCTTGCAACTGGGCACGGACATGCCCTGTTCTGTATGCTACGTGGAGAAAGACTACCTGTCAGTGATCAAGGACGGTTTGAACGACCGACGGCGGGTCGACTTGCAGCGGCAGATCGTTCGTAGCGCGGCCGATTGCAAGAAGTACTCGACGCATCCCATTGATGTAAGTTGGGGTTGACCGCTCCTGTCATGCCTGGTCGGCACGTCAGGGGGGTGTGCGCAGAGTGATGAGGGCATTGACGAGCAATGGACAGAGTGGTCTGCCCTAAGTGAGGTGTGTGGGTCAGACCCACACCCACACGGTTGAAACTGGTGTGTGGGTCACACCCACACCCACACACTCCAAACTGGGGTGTGGGTCAGACCCACACCCTCACACTCCAAACTGGGGTGTGGGTCAGACCCACACCCTCACACTCCAAACTGGGTTGTGGGTCAGACCCACACCCTCACACTCCAAACTGGGGTGTGGGTCAGAACCACACCCACGCACTCCAAACTGGGGTGTGGGTCAGACCCACACCCTCACACTCCAAACTGGGTTTTGGGTCAGACCCACACCCACACACCCCCAATCCTCAGGGATAGCCCTCAATTTATTACACGTACCCACTCTTTGGATCAGGGGTTGATTTAACAAAAGCCCAGCCACTTTGTGTCGTGTTATTCCCACGTGCAGACGTTTTTGTGGAAGTTCCACAATGCTAACACAGATTGGGGTAACACCTACCAGGCACAAATGCCAGACCTCTTACATGTTCTCTATGGAGGTGTGCTCGCGAGATTGGTGCATGTTCTGAAGGGAGATGAGAACAACGCGTTCGAACTGGTCGAGTGAGTGTTCGGGCCCATTTTGGGAAAATATGTGCGCAGTTGTGTGTTCAAACCCCTCGTTGACATGACCATAACCTTGATTCACCTTCCTTTACACATGCAGCCGTCTCTCGGAAATCCATGACGACACCACGCTCGCCGGCATCCCTGTGCCTTCGGGTGCATACTTTGCACGAAATGCATACTATTCGGCTGCCGAGCATGCTGCTATGCTGACAGTAAGTGTTGCTGGAAACCAGGCCCTATGCCTAACTGTGCAATCTATTTAACCCAGACCCTCTCTCTCTCTGGTCACCGGCCGCAACCGCAAAATCGGTTCAGGACCCGTAGCTACCCCAGCCCCCAAACCGTATTCAACACTACCACTAAGCACTACTCCCCTTGACCCCCCCATCACCGCCCTCAATCTCCCTTTCCCCACCTCCCCACACATGTTCTTGACCCATCACATGCCAGCCCCACTGAAGTCATGCAACTGGTACACGTGAAATTTGTGTCCCCGCATTGTGTGTGCGTCTCTCAAATCCTATCCTACACCAACAGGTACTACCCTTCCTGCTTGAGGGCAAGATCGCACCGGCACGACTTGAGGCGTTGGTGTTCTTTGCAAATTGGCATAACAACCATATTCGCGCAGAGAGCTACACAGAAGCGTCGCTCCTTGAGATGGATCACGACACTGCAAGGTAAGCAATGGGTACACCTACTGGGGGTGGGTGTGGTGCGGGCAAGGGTGCAGGCAGAGTGTGTGGCAAAAACAGAGTAGAGGAGTGAGGGAGGTGCGAGAGTAGCACCACACGCTGATTGATGGGCTTTTGCACGAGGTTTGTTTTGCAGACTGGTGTCTTTGCTGAAGACTCATTTCCCGCGGGATGGTGATGGCTGGAATCTTATCAAGATTCACGGCCTAAGTCATCTCCCGGAGGCCATTTGCCGTGGTGGACGCCCGCGCGAGTATTCCACAGCCACGTATGAGAACGCGCACGTTCGTGCCGTCAATCAGCCGTTTCGGAGCTCCAACTAGCGCGACTACGAGACGGCCATCTTGCAGGGGAATGCAACACAGGCGGCAATGCTGTCGCTGCCTCCTGCAGTCCCTGAACGGCCTCGCGAGTACATGACGGCCGCCAAACGGGTGGGGTGAGGACAGAGTGGGGTGAGGACAGAGTGGGGTGAGGACAGAGTGGGGTGAGGACAGAGTGGGGTGAGGACAGAGTGGGGTGAGGACATAGTGGGGTGAGGACTGAGTGGGGTGAGGACATAGTGGGGTGAGGACTGAGTGGGGTGAGGACATAGTGGGGTGAGGACTGAGTGGGGTGAGGACAGAGTGGGGTGAGGACAGAGTTGGGTGAGGACAGAGTGGGGTGAGGACATAATGGGTTGAGGACTGAGTGGGGTGAGGACATACTGGGGTGAGGACTGAGTGGGGTGCGAGGACAGAGTGGGGTGAGGACCTTGAGGGATGTGGACAGAGAGGTGCAGAGCGAGATTGAGGCGGTCAGAGCATACAAAACACATGCACAGCGCTGTTTTCCCTCACCAACACATGTGCATCTCGGATTTGGCAACTCTGATACGTACATTGTCATATCCCCCTTCGTGTGGCATGATGGTACTATATACTATGCGCGTGATGCACGAGATCTTATGTGCGGGCGTCGCGGTGTGGGCAGGCTCGTACCACTGGCAGGCAAGCATTGACCAACAGCGCGGCCACCATGCGAGTGTCAGCCCCGCCACACGCACCGGAGGCCCCTCTGCTTCAACAGTACATGGATGTCACCGCAGGGAGTCTCGATGCATACCGCAACGTCATGAAGCGGCATGGATACAACATCGCCGAGACTCAGGTATGCGGGACAGTGGTGCGAATAGGTGGGGTTGTGGACGTCGCATGGTGCGAATATCTGGGTGACGAGAGAGAGGTGCTCACAGATTGCGGTGCGGATGGATACCGAGGTGGACAGTGAGTATGAGAAATGTGTGCAATGCAGAGGGAGATGGGGACAGCGGGAGATGGGGGCAGCGGGAGATGGGGACAGCGGGAGATGGGGACAGCGGGAGATGGGGACAGCGGGAGATGGGAAAAGGGAGAGATGGGTCAGCGTGTGATGGGGAAAGGGAGAGATGGGTCAGCGTGTGATGGGGAAAGGGAGAGATGGGTCAGCGTGTGATGGGGAAAGGGAGAGATGAGACAGAGGGACATGGGGACCGGGAGAGATGGGACAGAGGGAGAGGGGGACAGCAGGAGATGGGACAGAGGACAGAGTGGGATGTGAGGACAGAGATGGATGTGAGGACAGAGTGGGGTGACCAAAGGGTGGGGTGTAATGACAGGATGGGGTGTGATGACAGAGTGGGTTGTGAGTACATTGTGGGGCGAGCACATAGAGGGGTGTGATGACAGAGAGTAGGGTGAGTACAGAGAGGGGTGTGATGACAGAGAGGGGTGTGATGACAGAGAGGGGTGTGCTGACAGAGAGGGGTGTGATGACAGAGAGTGGGGTGAGTACAGAGAGGGGTGTGATGACAGAGTGGGGTGAGTACAGAGTGGGGTGAGTACAGAGAGGGGTGTGATGACAGAGAAGGGTGTGATGACAGAGAGGGGTGTGATGACAGAGTGGGGTGAGATGACAGAGAGGGGTGTGATGACAGAGAGGGGTGTGATGACAGAGAGGGGTGTGATGACAGAGTGGGGTGAGATGACAGAGAGGGGTGTGATGACAGAGTGGGGTGAGTACAGAGTGGGGCAATGACAGGGAGTAAGGGGCGTGGACGGAGTGGGCCGAGGACAGAGAGGCCCGGAGCGAGATTTGTGTGGTCAGTGCATACACAAGCCATGCACTGCGCGGTGTCCCCTCCCCCAGCATACCACCTTTACGCCCAATCCTCAGCTACACACATCTCATGACTGCCCCTAATGGTGCGTGTTCTTGCAGGTCCATCGGGCGGTCGCGTTGCCGGCACGGGATGTGCGCACGGGCGAGCGCTCGGCGGTCTATGCGCGAGCAGAACCTTCACACCACGGATCCCCCGCATTCTCCTGTGTGGAGTATGGTGCGGTGGACACCGAGCATCTGTATGGGAAATTGGTCCTTCTCATGCGCGCGAGGAGGTCCGCGGATGGTCAGGGAGGCGTGTTACAGGAGGTAGCTGTGAAATGAGTAAGCAGGAATGAAAGCAGTACAAATGTGAAACCCTAACTGGGTTGTACCCCCTATGGGATACCCCACTACAGCCTACACAGCAGTATAAGCTATAGATATGTTCTGACACACCCCCATAGGCAAAGTGGGGGAGAACAAGGGGTCACAAGACCAGTCAAGCAAGACAAAGCAAAGCTCAGGGTGGATCACAAAGTCACCACACAGTCCGAGCACAAGAGCAAGGCCAAAGGCCAGTTCACAAGCAAGAGTACAGACATATATATATAAAACTAGACAAGCAAGAGCAGGTATATATATATGTCACAGTACAAGTAAAGTCAAGAGGAGAGCAAGTGAGGCAAGACAGGCACAAGACCCAGCTGGGTGCAGAAGCGCTGATGGTCACAAGGC